GGCGTTCAAAACTTAAAATATTGTAAAAAACATAGATCTTTTTCAACTGAACTTTTGAAAATGTTCCGGAAATACTGCGTCCTTTAAACATATATCAAATATAAAGCTTATGTCATATCAAATCAAAGGTTATGTTATATACTATCAAATGAAAAAAAAAAATTTGTCCCGACATCTTATCTTCTATGTGCAAATGGCTGTCGAAAATTAAAAAAAAATGTAATATTTGCGATAAAAATTATCTTTTATCGGGATGTTTTTCGTACTTAAAACTACCATAACTTTTTCAAAAATGAACAAATAAAAATAATATTTTTTTGTATTGAAACCTTAGATATTTCCCTTTCATTTGATATAACTTTTTTTGATAATCTAACACTTATTCTGCTCACTGGGGGGATTTAACATAGTAACTTTTTTACAAAAAATAACTTTTTCAACTTAATTTTTGAAAATGTTCTGGAAATACTACGTCCTTTAAACTTATATCAAATTAAAGCTTATTTTATGTAATATAAAATTAAAAAAAAAATTTGTCCCGACGACCTATCTTCTATGCGCAAATGGCTACCATATTCAAAAATATGCTATTTTAACAAATTTTTTTTTTTAATTAAACACTATCTACAGATTTGCATCGAAACGTTTTTTATGATAGTGATTTTAATCACTGTCAGATATCATCTATACTGGACCCAACTATGCCATGACCCCACTGTGTCGCCACCTCACTGTGCCGCCACCCCACTGTGCTTAATACACTTTTTTTTAATATGTCTGAATGGTTGAGTTTCGCTTGATAACTGAAATACCCTGTATATTGTCTGTCTTGATCGGGGTAACTAATGATGTTGTAAAATGTATAACTCCGTCTTCAAGAAGTTGTTTGCGTTTAAGGTTGATTTGTAAGTTGAAATGTATCAGGAAATCCGCTCCTAGAATACAACGAGTCCCAACTGCAATTATACATGTATAACGAAATTGGTTCATCGTTTCCGCCAAAATTGACCGTATCGTTACCGACAAATCTGATTAGCGTAGGTTTTTCGTTTCCGCTAAACCGATATTTTATACCTCACTATAAATAGAAGCTTGAGAACCACTAGTTAAAATATTTACCAAAATAACCAGATAATAATTATCTACTATTCATTTAATCAATCTTTGTACTATTTTTTTATTGTTATTAGATATATTATAGCTTATATAGCTATATTGTATTGATAGTTGTGAATCATTTCATTCACAATTTAGTGAATAATTTTTTAAGGGGCTTATTTCTATTAAAATATTTTTAAAAAATTTAATAAAAAATGTTTAATCTTATAATTACATTAAAATGTATAGTTTTGATGACGCAGTCTCAAAAAGCAAACAGAATAAAATTTAAATCCGTTTCAGAAAAACAAAAGAGGCAATTGATAAATTTAATAATTAAATTAGCCAATTTGAATTTGTGAAATTAGTTTTCAACAACTATCGAAAAATGTATAGATCATAGATCTATTTTTCATTATATTATTACACGTATTAGATAATTTTTAAGCTTATTATTGATATTTGAATTTTATTTCAATGTTTTGATGACTTTATTTTCTTATAAAATATTTTTTTTTTTTTTTTATTAGACATAAAAGACCGCGGCAGCTCTGGCCATTGGTCTGTTAGTAAATTACATTATTATTATTATTACAATTTTTGCATAACATTTATACATATTATATATATTATATATACAAATTATATTTCTTTATATAAAGTGGATTTTTTTAAGAAAATAAGTAATTTTTGAATTACGGTTGGTTCAGGACTGAGGATTTCGTATAGGTGAGTGGTTCCGAGAGTTTCCATACGATCTTGTTGGTTGCTTCTGCACTCAGTGAAAATGTGTTTGATCGTGAGTTGGATACCGCAGATGGTGCAGTTTGGTGGGTCCTCTTTTTTCATAAGGTGTCGGTGGGTACATGAAGTATGGCCTATTCTTAGGCGGTTTATAATTGTTTCTTGTCTTCTAGGACAGCCGGTAGGGGGAGGCCATGGTATTATTGATTTTTTTATATCGTTGAGTTTAGTTGTTTGATTTGACCAGTATTGTTGCCATCTTTCGATTGTGTGATTTTGATAAATTTTCTTGCGTCGGTATATGAGAAATCTAGTATTGTGATAGCATTAGATGACGTGTGCGAGAGTTTGGCGGCCTCGTCTGCTTTTTTGTTGCCTGCTATATTGCTATGCCCAGGAATCCACTATATTTTTATTATTCATTACAAATATATATATATATATATATATATTAGGGTGGCTCAAAAAAAATCGATCTTCGAAATGTTTATGAGATACCTCATAAATGTATTATATACATTGAAATAAACATTTTATGAAAATTTGAGATTAAAAAAAAAATTTTTACAGGTCGCTCAACGCGTTTTAAGAAAATTGACCAAAAATACTCAAAAAAACATAAAATGTCATTATTTATTCAATTTTTGTTCAAATTTCTTACTTAGTACATCTAAATTGTTCGTTTTTTAATGCCGAATAATAATAATTAGAAAAAAAAATTGTAAGTCCAAAATTGATTGCTTTAAGTCCATAAAAAGCTCAAAAATATGGTTAAGTTCAACGAACACTTAAGTAAACCAAAAAAATTTTTTTTTTCATTTTTTTTTTTTAATTTGATTAATATTTGTGTGTATTTTAAGAGGAAAAAATTTTTTTTTTAATCTCAATTTTCATAAAATGTTTATTTCAATGTATATAATACATTTATGAGGTATCTCATAAACATTTCGAAGATCGATTTTTTTTGAGCCACCCTAATATATATATATACTTAAGTTAGTTATCTATTATAATTTATTTACCTTAGGTAAAACGTCATATTTTCTTTATAAAGTTATGCCTATGTGATAAAGTAAGTAATTATTCAAAACGACGTGACCATATTAAGGGTTGGTTAAGGGGGGCGAAAATTAGGGGGGGGTGAATGTTATTTGATAGTTATAGGACAAAAAATTACTTTATTTTGTTCATTAATATTAATACCCCACGCAAAAATCTTAAATACAAGCCTGAACGTAACACTCAATAAAAGCCAAACAATTTGATACTAGCAGCTACCTAACCTGGCCATATACTAAAACCGATACTAGATTATCGTGGTGACCCATGGATAAAATTAAATGGTTCTCAAACTTTTTAGTAGATAGACAGGTAGAAGATTAATTTGGCGGAAACGAAAAACTGACCTTATTCAGGTTTGGCGGAAATGATAATCTCCCCAAAATTGTCTACGAATTTCTAGATCTAAAACAATTGTTCGTTCTCCGTAGGTTCTTATAGTTTGATTATTTGCAGTATAAAGTACTCGAGTTGAAATATTGGATTTGTCTGATTTGTTAGGTTTCACTATTGAAACTTCAGCTCCACTGTCTACTAAAAATTTTTGGTTTGATTTTTTGTCTAAGATTTCTAAGCAGTGAAAGCCCCTCCGTGTCTCGATTGTAGGCACGGAGGGCATTTTTAGTTATCCATCTTGATTGGCGGTTCTGTGGTCCATTTACATGATTTAACATATTTTTGTACCTTACCGCGAAATTTATAATGGAAATAATGGTCCTTCTGGATTATAATGTGATCGGGATTTTGAACGTGAGTGGCTCCACCGTATATTTTTTAATAAGTTCGTCCTCGCTGTAATTGTAATTGCTTGATTTGTTGTTGGAGGTCCGCCAGATAGTTTTCTATATTATTTGGTCTGTGTTGTTTTTGTATCTGGTTCACTGTGTCTATAGAGACATCAAATATTCGGTCTCCCATTTCTGCAAGTACTATTTGGACTTGTTTGAGTAAGCGCTAAAATCACATTTGTTATAATAAGTGGAAAGGACAATTTTGTTCGGCTAACGATTTGATTTTTGACAACATCAATGAGGGTTTTTCGTTACCTAATGAAATTACGGAAATTAATTTCCAAAATGTTTCTTCATCAGTTCTACTATATGTGTTAATGAGTTTGTCTAATAAATTTTGATAACAGTTTTTGGTATTGTCTAAGCTTAAAATGTCACTTACTTTTTCCGAATATGTCTTCGTCGATCATGGCCAAGATATTGTCAAATTTTGTTTGAGACTTACTAATGTATGGTAGTCTAAATAGAGCTTCAACTTTTTTGAACCATGCAGCTGGGTCGCATTTCTAAAATGATTGTAGTTTTACGGCGATTATATTGATATTATTCGCCGTTTCTGGCGTCATTTTGTTTTCCATTTTTCACTTGTCGAGGTCACCAACTTTGGTGTTTGGCGTATTGATTAAATAATAAATAAAAACACTGATTTACGCAAAAAAGAGAAAAATGATAGACGGTTTATTATTTAACACTTTTAGAATATTTACAATATATGCATGCACTACGTGTACTAACTGTCTACTTGTAGCGAACTAACTAGCTTATAACTGATTGATTGATTGACTGATTTCGCGCCGTTTTAGAGTGTGTAGTGTTCTAGACTATTTTTTTACGGAGCGATCGAGAATATTCGCGTGTATATGCATTTTGTATTGCCTATCTATCGTGAAGATTATCGATCATTCCATGGTCTTAACATGTTACATATTTTTAGTAAAAATATACTGTCATTTCACGAATATTTTTTTTAAGTAAAAAAAAGGGCAAGGTTAATAAAATAAAATAACTGACTACAAAATGGTTTGATATAATATTATCAAAACTTTTATGAATATCATTAATTCGTCTCTCCCTTAACTTAATGGTTTTAAAAATGAAACCATTATTTAATTTTTTTATCCATTTCGTCGCTATATCACCTACTATATATTGTGACTTCTTTCGAGTTTTTAATTAAAATATTAAAAGAAAAAGTAACAAACAATATAATAGGTAATGTTTATTATTTAATATCGTCCATACTCTTCTTTTAAGTTTAGTATATTATTTTAAAACTTTTTTAAAGTATTTTTTGTGTCATATTTTTACCTTAATTTTTAATTTTTTGAGTTTTGTTTCAAACATTGGGGTCATAGTATTATTTTGATCTAAATAGTTTTTTTCGCATATTACACCGGCAGCTTCAGATGAATCACAATCATTTTCACCCCAGTTGCTAAATTGACAATCAGTCAGCTCAGACTCCTGACCAGTACAACGAATATTATCGATCCAATATTTTCCTGTCATATTTTTAAAAATCAGTATCCATATAAAAATATAATTTTTTGTACAAAAGTGAGTCTTACGTGATGCTTGTCCAAAAAATGAGTTGTGGGTTATTTTGCGTATTTGTTTAAAACCAAGTTGTCGACAAACTACTTGTCCATCTAGTATATCCCATTCGTCATCACAAATTGTACCCCATAAACCTGAATGTAGAATTTCAATGTTTCCTAAACAATTATTATTTAATCTTAACAAAGTAAATTTTAAAAATTATGACTCTAAGTTTTATAGAAAAAAAATATAAGTTATTACTATTAAGTATGGTAGAAAAATACATTTTAATTTAGGGGATTAATCTGTAATTAAATTAAATTTTATGAAATCTGATTCTATACTTGATGCAAACCTGCAGATGGTGTTTAATTTAAAAAAAATAGATATTTTGAGAAATGATAAGAATCGCTTCGATGCATATCTGTAGATAGTGTTTAATTGTAAGAAATTAGTGGATTATTCCAAAAGCAAAATAAATGAATTCTTATTTCTTTAATTTATCTTAACTAGCAGTTATTTGATTTAGAAATATAATATATGAATAAATATTTATTATTGCAATTAAATATATATGAGATTGATATTTTTAAGGGTAATGTCTTCGACTGATACGATTTGTTTTCCTTAGCCGTATTGTTCAACAAAAGAAGTCCATTGAAATCTTCGAATAAATGGTAACAGTCACAAAAAATAAAAAATAAATAAATAAGCACAATATTATAAAATTAATTCCTTCTCATCTTCGTATTGAAGCTAAAAGTAAGTCGTAAAAAAGGGATATGTATATATAGTACTTACAACATAAAACATATATTGATCCACAAATTTTTCAAAAAGTTACGACTATTTATTGTAAAAATCAAATATAAAACAAAAATAATTATTTTAATACAAAAATTATATGTTTTTTTAATTAAAAAGCAATTTGCATATCGAAGGTAAGTTATCGGGTCAAATTTTTTTTATAACTTACAGTGCCAGATATACGATTCATTTTAACTTATTTTGAGCTCAGAGTATTTCCAGAATATTTTCAAAAGTTAAATTGATAAAGCTATTCTTTTGTATAAAAGTTGCTATTTTGAATACCACTGAGATCGAGTAAAAGGTTAGATTTTTAAAAAATGTATAAATGAAAGGGAGATGTTAGATATTTTTATAAAAACATTATTTTGATTAGTTAATTTTTTAAAATAATGACAGTAATAAGTAAAAAGAACAAAATAAGAAACGCATATTTGACACAAATATTACATTTTTTTTTCAATTTCAGAGGAAATATTCATATAAAAAGTAAGGTATCGGGACAATTTTTAGCTTTGATGCGAAGTTGAGAAGGTATTAGTTTTACTATGATGTATTTTATTTTTTTGTGTGTGTCTGTTACCACTTTTTCTCAGCTCTCACCGAACGGATTTCTTTCAACGATACGTCAAAAGATCACAAATCGTATATAGTCGAAGACATTACCCTTAAAAATTGAAAAAAATTCCCCCGTTCCCCGTAAATGGGGGAAACCTCCAAGAAAATTACAAATTTAAAAAACNGTAAATGGGGGAAACCTCCAAAAAAATTACAAATTTAAAAATCGCTAATTTTCGAAATTTTTTCAATTTTTTTTACTAAAATGTGCCGTAACTTTTTCAAAAATGAACATATCAATATAATTTTTTTTTTTATAGATGCTTGATGTCTTAAACTATCATTTGATATATTTTTGTTGTAGATTTGACTCTTTATCTGCCTACAGGATGGGATTTAAAAAGACAACTTTTTCACAAAAAATTAACTTTTTCACCTTAACTTTTGAAAATGTTCCGGAAAGTATGATCATTTTATATATATCTTAAATTAAAGATATAGTAATATAATTAATTTAAAAAAAAAAAAATTGACCTCTGGGCTTGTCTTCATGGTGAAAATGGCTATCAAATGCTATTTTTGTGTGAAAATTCTCGATTTTATAATTTACATTTTTTACTTTAAAGTGCTATAACTTTTTAAAAAATGTATGGATCAATACAATTTTTTCATGAGAAGTAGTATTTATATACATCTTTCATTGGATATACTTGTTTTTTAAATCAGACTATTTCCCTATATATGGGGGGGCTTCAAATATAAAAAATGCATATAGAAAGTAGAACTTTTTCAACTTAACTTTTGAAAGTGTTCCGGAAGGTCTGACACTTTTATATATATCTTAAATTAAAGCTAATGTAATATACTTTAATTTGAAAAAAAAAAATTTGACCTCTGGACTTGTCTTCATGGTGAAAACGGCTACCGAATGCTATTTTTGTGTGAAAATTTTCGATTTTATAATTTACATTTTTTACTTTAAAGTGCTATAACTTTTTAAAAAATGTATGGATCAATACAATTTTTTCATGAGAAGTAGTATTTATATACATCTTTCATTGGATATACTTGTTTTTTAAATCAGGCTATTTCCCTATATATGGGGGGGCTTCAAATATTAAAAATGCATATAGAAAGTAGAACTTTTTCAACTTAACTTTTGAAAGTGTTCCGGAAGGTCTGACACTTTTATATATAACTTAAATTAATGCTAATGTAATATACTTTACTTTAAAAAAAAAATTTGACCTCTGGACTTGTCTTCACGGCAAAAATCACTACCGAATGCTATTTTCGTGTGAAAACTCTCAATTTTATTTTTTACATTTTTAACTTTATAACTATAACTATAACTTATTGAAAAGTGTATGGATCCTCACAATTTTTTTCAAAGAAACTATATTTTTTTATAAACCCTTTTTCGTTCGACATACTTTATCTTAATCGAGATATTAATAAAGAACCAGCAGATCATGTAGCTTTTGAAATAAAACACCAATTTTTTTAAAATTTAATACTATCTAAAGATTTGCATCGAAGCGTTTATTTTTGATAGTGATTTTAATCACTGTCAGATATCATTATACTTGATCCAACTATGCCACGTCACCACTGTGCCGCGACCCACCCGTGCTGGGTTTTTTTTTCTTAAAACTCCCATAACTTTTTCAAAAATAAACAAATCAACTCTCGCTGGACCGATTTTGATGAACAATNCGCTCAATCTCAGCTCTCGCTGGACCGATTTTGATGAACAATATGTCAAAAGATCACAAATCGTATCTAGTCGAAGACATTACCCTCAAAAATTGAAAAAAATTCCCTCGTTTCCCATAAACAGGGGAAATTCCCCAAAAAATAACAAATGTAAGTATCGCTAATTTTCGACATTTTTTCAATTTTTTTTACTTAAAATTATCATAACTTTTTTCAAAGTGACCAAATCCATATAATTTTTTTTTTATAGACTTTAGGTATTTACCTATCATTTTATATATTTTTGTGAACATTTGACCCTTTAACAGCCCA